ATACAGGTTGAATAAGTATGGTGAAAGAATACAACCCTGTTGCACACCTTTCTTAATTTGAAACCATTCAGTGTTCCCATGTTCTGTTTGAACAACTGCCTTTACAGAGGGTTATAAATATGAAGTAAGCAACTTTAATTTCATCCCTTAGAATAGTGCCTAATACAAAATAAAAATCCCTGCTTATCATGTTGATTCTTATTGGTAGTGATCCTGTGGCATGGAGTAGGACTTGACTCATAAGGTTTGCAAGGCTTTTTTTATGGAAGCAGACTGCCTCGGTTTGTCTTGTGGAATGATGGGTGGGTTCAAACCAACAACTTTTCCATTAGCAGCTGAATGTCTAACCTCTGTGTAAAGTAACACCATGTAACTCTATTGAATTTTTTTTTTCTTGTTTTTCAGGTGGGAGTGGTGGAATATCTTGTCCTAAAATTAGCAAACAAAATATACTTCTGTTTTCTGCCATGTAACTTACTTCTTTTTGATAATATACATAAAAATTTCACTTTTGATAAATTTATTTATAGAGAAAATTTCCTTTTTGGAAACCACATCAAAATGTGGATCTTTAGAAAGGAGCTCTGATGGGCTGTGAACCTCAAGGTCAGCAGTTCAAAAATACCAGCTATTCTGTAGGATAAAGAAGAGGCTTTCTGCTCCCATAAAGACTTACAGCCTCGGAAACCCTGTACCGGGTCACTCTGAGTCAGAACCGACTCCACGGCACATAACCACCACCACATTACCTTAGAACAATGCCATGTTGTTGTTATTGTTAGGTGCCATCGAGTCCACTCTGACTCACAGTGACCCTCTGCACAGCACAGTGAAACACTGCTCAATCCTGCACCTTTCTTACAATTGTTAAGTTTGAGCCCATTGTTACCACTGTACCAATCCATGTCATTGGGGTGTCTTCCTCCTTTTCTCTTACCTTACACCTTATCAAGCATTATATCATTTTCCAGGAATTGGTCCCTCCTGATAACATGTCTGAAGTATGAGAGACAAAGTTTCATCAACCTGGCTTCTACAGGAACGTTTTGGCTGAACTTGTTCCAAGACAGATTTGTTTGTTCTTCTGGCAGTACTTTCAGTATTCTTATCCAGCACCATACCTTAAAGCATCATTTTTTTCATGGTCTTCCTTATTAACTGTTCAACTTTCATATGCATAGGAAATGATTGAAAATACCATGGTCTGGGTCAAGCGCATCTTAGTCCTCAAACTCTATTATCTTTGCTATTGAACACTTAAAGAGGTCTTGTGCTGTAGATTTGCCTAATGCAGTAACTCATTTGATTTCTTGACTGTTGCCTTCATGAGTTTTGATTGTGGATCCAAGCAAAAGGAAGTCTTGGACAACTTCAGTCTTTTCTCCATTTATCATGATGCTATTTTTTGGTCCAGTTGTGAGGATTTTTGTTTTCTTTACTTACACTTTACCTCTTACCAAGAAAACAAAATGATGAATGGCACTCTTGAGTAGGAACTAAAGTCACAAAAATGCAGACTGAGGCCAGCATGGAAATTGAGGGGCAGCCACATCTCTTATTACTGCTCATGTCAGCAAATAGGTAAAAACGGATTTTGTGACTATGAACTAATTCCATCTACTTCTCTTCCTTTCAAGTGAGTAGGACTTGGGGATGCAAATTCTTAGAGAAGTGATTATAGGGGCAAAGTGGAGATTAGAATTCATGTACTACAGATGGTTTGCAAAATCGCCAGGCTCTTCGATAGTGTGTACATGGAGCAGACACCTACGAAAGAGTCTGTGCCATTTCAGATCACTTGAAAGGTAGAGACCCCAAAACACATGGAGCCCAATTGCAATGCTTCCATTACAAGGGTGATTGGTTTTTTTTGACATACTCTCACAGGTATTTTTCTCTTAAATATAGACATCTCAATTATTGTTTCAGGATTATCCCTCCTATCCAGCCTTTGGCCAAAACCAGTATGCACAGTATTACTCAGCATCAACCTATGGAGCATATATGACATCAAATAACACAGCTGACAGCACGTCTTCATCAACCTCAACATATCAGTTGCAAGACTCTCTGCCAGGACTGACTAGCCAACCAGGTACAGATCTTCATCCAGGTGAAATACTTTTATATGCTTCCCTGTGTCTAGTTATATGGAGAAATGGACATTCAAAAATAGGCTGACAATTCCCCCATAATTATGATCATATGTAATCTGGGTTAGTTAGGATCACTGTATAAAAGTAGGTGATTCTAGCATTTCAGGAAATCTTTCTTTTAGGTTAGGCAATTGTTACCTCAGAGTGACCGTGTACATTACTTGTAAGTATGGATATAAAAAAGTGAGTGGATCTGTTGGCAAACTAAATTTTCATTTAGCGAACAACTTGAACCACATCAGAAAATTGAGATATTTTCATCTTTGGATGTAAATGATAGTATTTTCACTATAACTGAGAGATCCTATAGTTCCTTCACCATCCTGAGTCATCAGTTGCTCCAGCCAGTGAACAGGAAGTGAAATATTTGTGGGATTAGTGGCAAATAGTTGGCTGTCCAAATTCATGAAGTGCTTCTCGGGAACCCTATAAGTCACAAGTGAGTCGATGGCACTTACCAATAACAAAACAACTAAACCCACTGCCACTGAGTCAGTACCAACTAATAGGGACCCTGTATAGGGATTCTGGGAATCCTGGTGTGGCACTGCAGGTTAATGTGCTTAATGAGTATGGCACACTGGGTGCCAAATTTAAGGAGGCACTCATTCTCAGCCTTTTCCAATTTTGTGCCCTAGATACGTCATTCACCTTACTCTAGTCTAAGCCCAGATTCTGTGTTCCAAATCTGTCTTAATCCTTTTTGAGTCAGTTCTTGAATTTCACCAAGATTCTTAACTTAATGAATAAGTGCTTTCAGAATCTTGGCCTAACAAGCAATGGTTGTACCGTTGTTGTTGTTGTTGTTAAGTGCTGTTGAGTCAATTCCGATCCATAGTGACTCTGTATATGGTTCCAAGGAGCAGCTGGTGAGCTTGGACCGCTAACCTTGTGGTTCACACTGACTTTGCAGTCCAGCACGTTAACCCACAGCACCACACCAGGACTCCTGTCTATACCATAGATAAAGAGATTTTTTGCATACTCTTGAGGATCCCTGGGTCAGAATCACTCGATGCACTTAACAACAACAAAACACTGAGAAAGGTTTTTCTCAATGGTGAGTGCCTAGGGAAAACAAGACAGGATGACTGCTTTCAAAAGCAAATCCACAGAAATCAAGATATGAGAGACTGAATAAAAGGTAATACCAGCAGTACCTTTTTTAATTGACTGGAATGCAGCCATCCAGTTGCCATCGAGTCAAGTTTAACTCTTGGTCATCCCATGTTTGCCACAGTAAACGGTGCTCTGTGGCGTTTTCAGTTGCTGATATTTCAGAAGCAGATGGGCAAGGTTCTCTTCCAAGGCACTTCTTGAAGGACTTGACCCTCCATCGTTTTATTTAAGCAGCTCAGCGCTTAACCATCTGCACCACCCAGGGTTCCCCAGCACAGAGCTATCAATGAAAACCACTCGTATGCTCAAATATGGCATATGCTGGGTCAAGCTTGGAGTTCAAGTGTGATTTTGCTTTAATTTCAATATGACCCTAACAACTTCTCTACAGGAAAGACGTAGGTGTTTCAGCATTGCTATTTTATTTATATTAAAGATACTTAGTACAACCATGTACATATTCTGAGCATGCGACTTTGAACATGACAGATTCACATATGACACTCTCATGCTCATCCCTCAGAATGCTGGAACTTCTTCAGACTTCAAAAGGTTGCTATCACCAACAAATATGATTTGACATTAATTTTCAGCCATTATCATACTTTCTATTGAATTTAAAGAAGAAATCATTTCTGCATGTAACTACATTATTCTCTCAACCCAAATCAGAAATAATGTCTGGATTTTTAAGGAATTCCATGGCTCTCCTTAGCCCGTACACTTCAGTTTGATTTTGCCATTTCAGATCTGGCATGCATCCAAAAAGCAAACAAGTTTGTAACTGTGAGATTGTTCTTTATTATTGATGAAATCTGAAGGATTTAGTTCAAGGGCAGGAAACGTATTTCCCACTGACCAGTTCTGCATCTTAGACTCAAAGCAGAGACCTCAAAATTAAATCCACAATTTTTCATAAAACATTCACTGTTGACTTCTCCCCTTTGTAAAATGAAAACATACCTTGAGTTCAATAAGAGACAGCTGGTTTTCTGATTTAGAGATAATCCTAATGAAATAAAGTTGAATCTAAATATCTGAAATTTATAAGGTGCAGTTATTCATTACTGTACTGATGAAAGGATAATTATTCAATCATGTATAGTGTTAGCCGAAGAAAAAGCCTAAGGCAATTGGTAATAACTGATGTTATGAAGTAGTTTGACAAAGGATATAAGCAAACACTACTGTGCTGATTCAGAACAGACGTTTTAGTTCATTATCTTCGTAAAGATCTTTCTTTGCCTTTTATGTAAAGTTTATCTTAGCTATATATTTTTTATTTGCATTCAGAAAGTTTGAGAACTGATTAACACATTTAGATTAGAAATGCAATATAGTGCCTCCCTTTCTAAAATGTAATAAAGTAATTTGTAACCATATTATCCTTTGTCCTGAGACCTCAGTAAACATTACATTAGCAAATTAAATCTTAAAGTGCTCCAGAAAGGTAAAGGATACAGTAAGATCGCTTCACACTCTGAAAAGAAGCCCATTTTTCAGACAGAACACATAGCCTTTTCATAGCTGTCTCTCATTTCACTTAAAGACAGGGTGTGAAGCAAAGTGCTGACTCACCTCATTAAAACAATAAAAGACTTTAAATAGAAAGGACACAGATCTTCTCTGCCAATTTGCAATTCCTCCCTGTAGCATTAATGTGCCGTAATTACCTTAGTTGAAATTTGGTGAGGGATTGGAATTAACAGTTTTCTCCTTTAAAAAAAAGAGGTGTCAACAAATGTTTAATGAGTAGCTGGTAGAGCTCACGTTCCTGCCTGTTAACCCTTTATCAGAAGAAAGGTAGCATCTCCAAAAGGCAAAAGGGTCAGGTACAATTCCATCTGCTTATTATAGCCAAGATACATCACGTGGCTATTACAGGACATGCTTTCATACTTCAATGAAGTTATTTTTCAAGTCCTTGTCCTAAGCTTTAGCAGAAAGTGTATAGTATCGCTGTGACTTTTTTGATCAGTAGATGCAGATATGTTTGACCTCTTTGTTGACCTGTGGGGTCTGCTACTATTTGCAGGAGGAGGAATGTCTGGTGGCTACAGCAGAAGTTCTGGAATCATACTAGCATTGCCATTGATCAGCAGTTGTAATCTCAGTAAATTAATTACAGCTCATATGTCTTCAGTTTCCCATTGTTAAGCAGGGATAATGAAGGACTGAGCTCTTTGGGTTAGAATGAAATTTAAGTCAGATGTCCTTGTTGTTGTTAAGTACTGGCGACCCTGTTATCAGGTCTCCAAGGAGCAGCTAGTAGGTTTGAACCATTGACCTTGAGGTTAGCAGTCCATTGCTTATCCTACAGTGCCACACCAGGCTCCTTAAGTCAGATGTTGTTGTTAAGTGTTATATAGTCAGTTCCAACCCACAACACAACAGGTACCTATGAAAAAAAAAATGCAATACAGTAAAGGTTTTTGGCAAATAAAAAGATACCCACATTTTTTAAATATGCAGTATTTCATAACAGCTCTGGTAGCGTAGTGGTTACGAGTCGGGCTGCTAATCTCACTGTCAGCAGTTCAAAACTACCAGCTGTTCCATGGGAGAAGGATGAGGCTTTCTGCTCCTGTAAAGATTTACAGCCTTGGAAACCCTATGCAGGGTTGCTATGAGTCAGAACCAACTCCCCGGCACATAACAACAGCAAAAACATAACAGCAGGCTATCAAATGGACAAGAAGCATACGAAAACATATTCTACATCATTACTCATCAAGAAAATAGGTACAAAATCACAGTGAGATGGTGCGCATCACAAGAAGTAAAATGGAAAAAAAATAAAAGAGATATCCCAGCAACTAGCAATACCAAGATTTGGCAAGGATGCAACTGGAACTCTCATTGCTAATAAGAGAATGAATTGATAAAACCCCTGTGGGATAAGGCTACTAAGGATGAACACGTGCCTTCCCTCTAGCCAGACTTTCTCACTGCTTGGTACATATACCCAAGAGGAATGAAAGCATGTGTCCATAAAGATATGTGCAAGAATGTCTATGAAAACTTTATTCTTAATAGCTCCAAACTATGCATAACCCAAATGTCCATCAACAGATGGATAAATAAACTATAACATACATACACAATGAAGTTCTAGTTAACTTTAAGGGAAGCACAAACTGCTCCAGGCATCAACACGGATGAATCTCACAGACATTAAAGTGAATGAAGCCAAACATATGTTTAATAATATTTTTTAAAAGAAGACAGTGTGTGATACATAATAAAGTTTTCATAAATGTGGAGCTACCCTCTGTAATGTTTCTATAAGGCCATGTTTTTTTAACCCTAGCAAAACACTCCTGCCCATATTTTGTTCATGAGGCACCAAATTCTTAGAGCCTTTTTAAGGTGCATTAGTAATTTGGAGAGAATCTATGGGTATCAAGTCCTTATATTTACTCAAACCCAGACACTTCCTATGAGAACTACAGTCTTCCTCTTCCTTTTGCACATTTTTGGCCCCCTTGCTGTGCTAACTGCTAGCTAGCTCCCAGATCATTTGAATTGGTAAGTTCCTATTAAATCCTTCTTTCTGGGTCCAGTCTGCAATCAACCACCCAGAACTGATCAGAAGGACTGGGATTCTGCAAGTGTTTTGACCTCCCTGCTTTTGCACTATTGCAAGAACAAAAACGGTCTCATAATAGTTAATAATGATATTGATCTTTAATGGATATAAAGACAGGTTTTATGTAATGCCACCGAAAAACTTTGAAAGCTTACGTGCAAAGTGAAAGCTTGAATTCGTGTTTTATTTCAAACAAAATATTTGATTTGGATAACATTAGTAACCTTAGGAAAATTCTGTTTCTGAAAATAATTTAAAATGGAAAATTTTTTTTTTTTACATTGATATGTGTTCATATACCAAACCAAAGACTCATTTAACACCTGTATAAGTAAACCAAAGTCTGGTTTGCTGCAAGATAGGACTGTATGTAACCCCTTAGCCAAAGGAGTTTATCATTTTGCTGTAGGATAAACAGCAGACAGTGAATCACAAGGTTGGCACTTCGAGTCCACCAGCCACTCTGCAGAAGAAACATGAGGTTGTCAGCTCCCACAAAGACTTACATACAGCCTCAGAAACACTATACATGGTCACTATGAATCTGACAACACTTAACAACAAATAGATAGCTAAGTCTCAAGTAATGAATAGTGTTTAAGAGCAAATAATTGTTGTTGTTAAGTGCCGTCAAGTCGGTTCCGACCCATAGCGACCCTGTACAGGGTTTCCGAGGGTGTAAATCTTTACGGGAGTAGAATGCCTCATCTTTCTCCTGCGGAGCAACTGGTAGTTTCGAGCCGCTGACCTTAAGGTTCGCAGCCCGATTCGTAACCACTACGCTACCAGAGCTCCTTAAGAGCAAATAATAGAGCACAGATATTTTGTTTATTTATTTATTTTGATCCTGTCCTGACATCAGCATTGCCCAAGGAAAATGTGATAGAAAGAAGAGGCCCTATAGGCTTCTTGAACTAACCTTCTACTTTTATATTAAACTATATATTTATGTATTATGAATTCATATCACTTTATTATATATGTTATTGTTACATATATATGTGTCATTGTTAAATGCTCTGGAGTCGCTTCCAACTCATACTGACGACTCTGTAAAGGGTTTCCAAGAAGCAGAAGGTGGGTTTGAGCCACCACCCTTGCGGTTAGCAGTCCACTGTTTATCCTTTGGAGCCATACGAGGACTCTGTAGGATTTACAAGGCTGTAAATTGTTACAGAAACTGATTGCCAAATCTTTCTGATGGGTTCAGACCACTGGCTTTTTCAGTTAGTAATTGGCTTGTCTAACCACTGTGACTCCAGGGTTTCTTATTTAACTTAAACATTGTGCATCAGTAGCAAATAAATACATTTTGCTCAGATAAATTATATAAACTACATGTTTATTGTGGACTCCTAGCGTGGCAATGTAGGATCAGCACTGGACTGGGAACCACAAGGTTGGCAGTTCAAACCCACCAGCTGCTCCTTGGAATCCCTACACAGGATTGCTATGAGTCGGAAATAACTCAACTCAACGGCACTTAACAGCAAGTGTTTATTAGTCCTGGTGCTGTATGACAGTGTTCCACTGTTACTCATAAGGATTTCAGCGGCTAAACATTCAGAAGTAGTCCGCCTCCGCCTCTCCTTCCTCCGAGTCTACCTTAATCTGCAAGCCCCTCTCTACCATGGGTGACCCGGCCAGCATTGAAAATCTCAGTGACATAGCTCCCAGCCTCACAGCAACATGCAAGCCGCTACAGTCCTAGGTGGTGTGCCCTGTTCTTTCTAGTAGACGTAAAAGTTGATTTGGTAAGTGTACGAAAGTGGCCCTGTGGGTTCATGTGCTGGACTGTCGGTCTGAACCACCATTTTGGTGTTTTAAACTCAACAGCCATTCCTTGGAAACTGTATACAGTTTCACTATGAGTCAGAACTGACTCAATGGCACTTCACAAAAACAATGACAACAACTTCCTGATCAGATTCAGATTAAAATTGCAATTGCATTATAACAGATTAGAGGTTAGCTATATAAAAGTAACTATTAGAACATCTCAGGAAAAAAAAAAAAGAACAGTACCCAAATGTTGCCTAATTTGTTCAGATGTTTATTTAGATTAATGACTGCCTGCCAGCTTTCAGGATTTTTGGTGCTGTAGAATCAACACTGTACTGCAAATCACAAGGTCAGTGGTTCAAACCCACCGGCTACTCCTTGGAAACCCTACAGGGTCAGCATCGACTCGACAGCACTTAACAACACCAATTTTATGACAGTCATAACATTTTTATCTATAAATTTAAATTTGAGTTCAATATAAATTTAAATCTATAAATTTAAATTTGAGTTCAATATGATTGTTCTGGCAATTTTTACCTAATACATATAATTTGCAAGGAGCTCTGGTAGCATAGTGGTTACGAATCTGGCTGCTAACCTCAATTTCAGCAATTCGAAACTACCAGCCATTCTACGGGAGAAAGGTGAAGGTTACTGCTCCCGTAAACATTTACAGCCTCGGAAAACCTACACAGGGTCGCTGAGTCGGAACCAACTCTACAGCACTCCACCACCACCACCTCCACCATCACCACCACCACATGTAATTTGCAAGTTAATGTGCTGGACTGCAAGATCTGAGGCTCAAGTTCACCAGCCTCTCCTCAGAAACCCTATACTAGGTTGCTATGAGTTGGAACCGTACTCAACAGCACTTAACAACAACAACACAAATGATTTATATCCAAATAAATATAAATCAAATTTATCCCTCTCAATAATTCAAAAACTAGTTACTGTTACCCATGTGTTACGTGACTATGAGATTCAGAGATTGTTTGAAATACTGAAAATCATACAGCGATTCTGACTACAGCTTATTCTGTATTTTGCTGTTGACTTGGTTTATCGTAACAGTCCCTTTCGTAGGTTTATCTGCTGCTCAACAGTCTCTACTATAATCTTCCATCATTTACTTTAGACATACCAAAAGTTTAAGAATCCATGGGACATGCAGAAGCTAGATAGAAACTTGGAAATGTATGATATGGACTGGTTAGGGGTTGTAAATATCTGGGTCACCACATATGTGACCATAAGCATGTGAGAGGTAGCCCAGATTGTGAGAGGGAGAACTCTGTTCAATATAAGCACATAGGAGTAAAAAGAGGAAAATGAATCCGTGTTTTCTATACAGAGAAGGATTGGAGAAAAAGATTCTAGAACTTTGCCAAATAATAGTTCCAAGGAAGGGCAGTTTTAACAGGATCAGACGGTAACGAGGTCCAGGAAGACAAGGATCGACTATCTGTCTATCACATTTATGAATTTGTTAGTCATTAGAGACTTGTAGTAAGAGTATTTCCATTAGAGTTTTGATGAACTAAACCAAGGTTATGATAAATGGAATATCAGGAAACAGAGACAAACACGCTCTCTAATATTGTACCCATTGATCATGTGTGGCTAATGGACACTTGTAGCTACCACAGATTGGAATCTTCTCTAATTATAAAAACATACTGGATTTCAAAGGCATAGCATTTGTAACTAGAATGTAAAGCACCTCAGTTAAAATTTTTGCATTGATTACATGTTGAACCACAATATTTTGTCACTGTTAACTTAATTAAAATATATGAAAAAAGATAATTCTACATGTTTCTTTACATTTTTAATATGATTACTAGAAATTTTTTAATCATACATGTGGCCTGTCGCATTTGTGGTTCATATTATATTTCTGTTGGACAACACTGTTATGAATTATTCTTTTAAGGAGTTTGATTTAAAAAAGAGAAAATGAAAAGCAGAGTATCTGGGTTGAAATGTAGGGGCCAAGGGGAAGGGATTGGGAGTTTGTCAGTGGCCCTTGGAAAGAAGAGGTTGAAGGACAGATGAGAGAGGTTTTGACTAATGGAACTCAGTCCCCTAGGAGATGGGGTTGGAGGGCCAAGTTTGCAGGTGGAAGGACAACGTTGAACTGAAAGAAGGAATCTTGTCGTCTGGATTCTGAGAGTGGGAATTGAGGATAGACCTAAATGTAGATAAATACGTAGGTGGGTTAGAGACAGGAAGTTGAAGGCAGATGGAGTATAAAAAAACACGAGGTTTAATACGTTAAGACTAGATTAAAACTAGGAGAGATTTATGAGACCTCAGAGAGGTCAATTCAGCCCTCGAGATTTCTGCTTCTGCATCTGAATCTTGTGGAGGCAAACTTGATAATTTTGCATATCTCTCTAGTTCAAACATTATATGAATATTTTGTTTCAATATTTTTACTTATGGATTATATGTATTTTGTGATTATAACTATTGTGTGTCATAGGGCATTTCTATTTTATAAGAACTTAAGATAAATGACACTGAATTATATTTGAAAACAAACTGCTGTTTTTGACAGATGTTATGATTATTTATAGGAGAGTTTGATACAGTTCAGAGCCCCTCCACACCCATCAAAGATCTTGATGAGAGAACATGTAGGAGTTCCGGGTCAAAGTCTCGAGGAAGAGGCCGGAAAAATAATCCCTCCCCACCTCCCGACAGTGACCTGGAGGTATGCCTGCTTATCCTTAAAGAATGCAACATGACCTCTTATTTTATGGAATGATACCTTTTATACATTATATTTTCAAATGTGAAAAAAAAAAACCTATATCATGAATTGAGTGCATCTGCTTTGAAATTACATATGCTGAAATTTAATATTTCCATGATTATGTGATAAAAAATTTTAAATTATAACAAAAGTGATACATCTTTATAAATCCTAGATATTTGAATTTTTTAAAAATCCAAATTGTCACAAACAGCAATTTAAAATTAAAGCCATTGACTGGGAATATTTTCTGAGAAATGCTTATTTTCTGAGAAATACTTATATTTGGTCATACCAGCTGCTCTTCAGAACTCCTATACAGGGTCACTATGGGTCAGAACCGACTCGACAGCACTTAACAACAACAACAGCAGCAGCAATAAAGTAATACAAGACATTTATGGTGGTTGCAGTGTGCCGTCAAATGCCTACCAACTCTTAGTGACCCTGCATAGGGAGTCTGAGGCTTTAAATCCTTAAGAGAGCAGAGAGCCTCATCTTTTTCTCTCTGAGAAACGGGTAGATTTGAACTGCTGACTTTGTGGTTAACAGTCCAACTCATAATCCACTCGGCTACCAGGGATCTTAGAAGTCCTATATGTATTCAATACATTTTAAAAGTTAAAATTAATCCATATTAAAAAAAAAAAAAAAGTCTTATTAAGTTAGGAAAAAAAACCCTCAACATTTTGATATATATCTGGAAATTTCTGTAGGTATGAAAATATCTCAATGTACAATGTCATTTTTGAGCTCTACTGAGATACAGTGATAATGTTTATATTATTCAACATCAGGAAAAACTACTCTAATCCTTAATATTTTATTCACTACACAGCAGTATATATGAATTAAATAAAAATAATAATCATCTCCTACATTTAATAAAATAAAGTAAGAAACATTTTGCCTCTTCATAAGAAGCAACGTCTTCTGCCATCAAGTCGGATGGGACCCTGTATTAGATTTCTGGCAAGGTTGAGCAGCCTACCTCACAGTTAGCAGTCCAGTACTTATCTTAAAGTGTCACACACACACACGTCCAGTGCTTGTCTTATTCTTGAATAACAGTAACAAATTCAAATGCCTTCAGCAAGCAGACAGGTGATGTAAATGAATAAAACTGGCTTGGAAAATGAGATTATGAGGAGCAGGGAGCATAGCCCTTGTCCCAAGGGGCCCACCTATCCCAGGCCTGGGCCCACATTGCCACAACTTGCAGGTTCTCTGCTGCCGTCTCCTGATTCTGAAATGTCCTCATTAAAATGGAAACCTTTCAAACAATACAGAGGCCAAATAACACATCTGTGATCTAATCTAATCCAAGGGTCCACACTTCATGATTCCTCTTTCAGGAGTTGCTCATTGGTCCTTGCAAAATGTGGCGCAATAGGATAAACTGTTGTCTGCGATGTTGGTTTGAACTGCAAGGTCTGCAGTTCAAATCCACCAGCTGCTTCTTGGCAACCCTATACAGGGTCTTTATGAGTCAGAAACAACTCGACAGAAATTATTATAT